CAGGACACAGTCATTCAATGATGAAATAACTTGCACCCTCAATGGAATGGGCCCTGTTACATCTCTAGCATTATGGCAAGTTTGTTCTAGGCTCAAATGATAAAACACATCCTGAACATAATTGTGGTGGAGAATGAAATTTCACGAGAAGCGCACCTCTTGCGCATTACCTCAGTAACCAAAATTTATTAATTGTAAAAAATATACTCACAAACAGCGAATAAAATCAGGCATGTCCCTCACAGGGACTTGAAGATAACATGAGTCCCATCAGGGGAGTGGGTGTTCAGTACAGCTGACGCGTTTCGAAGGGGGTCCACGTCATGTCCAATCAAATGGGGGTATATATATTTTATATTTTACGTTTGTCTATATCATTTCTCTCTGATGGCATTACAAATAGTGATTGTCTGTTGACGATATCTTGGCCCCTCTACTAACCTGAGACTGCCCAACCCAGTGGGGAGGGCCTAGGTTCAGTCCAGGAGTATATATAGGAGAGAGCACTCACAGTTCAGTTAGCTCTGAGGAAGAAGGGACCCCCTTCGAAACGCGTCAGCTGTACAGAACACCCACTCCCCCTGATGGGACTCATGTTATCTTCAAGTCCCTGTGAGGACTTACATGCCTGATTTTATTCGCTGTTTGTGAGTATATTTTTTACAATTAATAAATTTTGGTTACTGAGGTAATGCGCAAGGTTGGTGCGCTTCTCGTTTTCATTTCATTCTGCAGTGTTGATTGGGCTTTCCCCAGCCTTGTTTTGGAGCCGCACAGCCAGGACGATCCCTCCAGGCCTGGTTCCATCTGTTCGCCACCTGTCTGAGCCCTAGAGCGCAGGAGAATTCGTCTTTGATTTACCATAGTTGTGGTGGATCAGGGTCCATTTTCACGTGCCTAGTTATAACAACGTCCAAGGGGTGCCAGGACTTGCTGCCCTCTATCGACTTGAGAAGTCCAGTAACAGCTGTAAAAAGACAAGTAACAGAGGGTGTACCAGCCTAGTGCATTATCTCAGGGGTACTTCAATATTTAAGGATAAAAACCATACTCACAATGAACAAAATACAGCATGTGTATAGTGGGACCAGGGGCGGACTGACAACTCATGGAGCCCCCGGGCAATATGGGATCATGGGGCCCCTGTGTCCTTGCCTAAACTCAAAAAAGCCTATGAAAAAGGTACCAGGGGCATCTCATGGGGCCCCCTACTGACCCCGGGCCCTCGTTTCCAAATGGTCAGTCTACCCCTGAGTGGGACCCAAAAAGAGCCAATGCCAAGCAGATGCCGTCCGGGATCCAGAAATGGCTTACGCAGTTCAAGGGTAACCCCTCTTCATCAGAGCTCTGATTAAAAGGGATTAAATAAGTCCCGTGTCCCCATGTACACACATATAAGAATGCAGCATTTCAATTTCTTGGTCAATTTCCTGTAGCACTTACCCCCAAAGGGGCCTCTGTTTCCTAGGTCCCTCTGTTTCCTGCGCCCAAATCCTTTGTAGCACCGATCACCCTGACACAACTGGGCAGAGGGGGGAAAAATTATTGCAAAGATATACAGTACACCACCAGTTTAAAATCAATCAAAAAACAGTAATTGCTCAACAAATATACAGGGTATAAAAAAGAATCACTGCCCCCCTTAACCTTAAACTTATCACGTTTTGTTCCTTTGCAGCCTGAAATGAAGACAGCTGTATTGGCTAGTGACTTACCGAACACCCCCCTTTTCGGTTCACGGCCAAACATTCGAACCTAACAAAAGTTCACCCGCAAACTTCGAATATAAGGCAAGTCTATGGGACTCAAACTTGTAAATTCAAAAATTCCCATTTTGAAGGCTTATATGCAAGTTATTGGCCATAAAAGGGGTATGGGGACTCAGGTATTGCCCAGGTACATGAATAGGTGAACCGTTTTTAAGGAGGCAGTCATTTTTCATTGCTTAAAAGTAAAAAAAAAAAAAAAAAAAAATCATTTAAATACCACTCCTGGGGAGGTCCTAAACTACCTGCAAAGTTGTACATCTGTACAATGAATAGAACCTGGACCAGGTATGTATAGAACCAGGACTGACATTTTTTTTTTAAATTACATTTTTTATATATATATAAACAGCATGGGCAAACCTCCCCCCCAATCCACACCAGACCGTCTAAGTCTAGCAGGAAGATTAGGAGGGAACCCTCAGTAATATTTTTTTAAAGTGCGTGGGGTTCCCCCTAAAAGCCACTTCCAAAAAATGGGGAGAAAAGTGCGTACGGTTCCCTCTAATAGCCATTCCAGGTCCTTTAGGCCTGGTAGGACTTTTAAGGGGAACCCCACCCCCAAACAATATGTGGAAAAAAGTGGGGTCCCCCAAAATTCCTACCAGACCAGGAAAGGAGAGTGCCCCCCCTTAAACATAGCAGACCACATGCCCTCAACATGAGGGGTGGTTTTGGGGTAAGGGGGCCCCCCAAAGCACCTTTTTCCCCATGTTGATGTCCTCTTCCCCACAACCCTGGGCTGTGGTTGTGGGGGTCTGCGGGGGCTGACTTATCGGAATCTGGAAGCCCTCTTTAACAAGAGGACCCCCAAATCCCCCCCCCCCTTGTGAATGAGTATGGGGTACATAGTACCCCTATCCATTCACCAAAAAAGTGTAAAATGTGAATAAAAGCACAACAATTTTTCACAAGTCCTTTATTAAAAAAAAAAAAAAAAATAATGGTTGAATCATTGTAGTCCATCGCCAATCTCAGCGTCCAGCGTTGTCACGATGACGCTGAGTTGCCGAAATAAAAAAATCCTCAACGTCCACAGACTCATCCACACCAGCCAAGTACTCGCCACTATCTGACATTTGTCGATCAGATGTAAACAATTGGGCAGAGCTAGCGGTGATATCACCACTAGCTCTACCCAATTTTCTCTGATTGGCCAAAGTATTGTATTATCGGTGCATTACTTTGGCCAATCAGAATGCCCTGTCAGAGCACACTTTGTGTGTTCGCCAACCACAAGAACGGCCAATGTCTTACGTTCAACTCAAACACCAAGCTTGTCAGTAGTATTAAAACTTCTAACATCCAAGTGAAAAATAGAATACAAACATGTCAGAAAAAAAAATTAAAGCACAGAATCATTGAGTTGGATCACCCCCTTCTAAAAATGACTTGTAAACTCAATCAGGTGTAGCTGATCACATTCTCAATGGCACACAAAGCCATTTGACTTTCAACTGTGATCAGCTGTGGTCATTTTGATTAGCTCAGCATGAAAAGAGCTTTTCTGGAGCATTTCAGTCCCAGGTAGTGCAAATGAAGCAAACAATAAACTATGGGTGGCAAGGCACTGTCAGATGATCTAAAGTTGTGGACAGGCACAGGTCAGGAGATGGGTAAAAAAAAAAATTCAAAGGCTTTATCAATGCCTGGAAGCACAGTGAAGCATATTATTAAGAATTAGAAGGTATTTGGTACAACACAGACCCTCCCTGGATCAGGATGTCACTCTAAACTGAATGAACGGGCCCAGAGGATACTGGTCAGAGAGGCTGCTAGGAGGCTTACCGCAACTCTGAAGCAGGTTCAGGGATTTATGACAAGAGTGGTCAATGTGTGCACATGACAATAATATCATTCTTCAGGAGTCAGAGTGGCTACATAAAACATCACCCTTTCCACAAACAGCCAAGAAAAAGTGAACACACCTCAGGAGCTGCTCAGAGAATTCAGTGAGCTCTAAAGCAGCAAGTAAGAAGGCCATTCTGGCTCTGTGCTGACTGCAGGCAAAGAGAACCTTAAGCAAATATCCACACATCCATGTACACCAACACAAATATTGTTGCCCGCTATCTCTCTGGTTGTAGAATCTCTCTAGAAAGAACCTTTACAGAGCTATAATGAAATGTACAAAACTGAAAACTGTGCCTAGTAACTATATTATGTTTAAACAGAACGAATGAAAAAATTGATAGAAGGAAGGTATTTTATGGTAGAAGGGACCCGGTTACTGCTGCTATAAAATATCTTCTCATGTCTGCTATCAGTTTTTTTGTGACTGACAGCCATGCATGCACAGGTAAGTGTACAATCCTGGTGTCTGTAAGAGGAAGTACTGGGATTGCAGAAATGCACATACATAGAAGATGCATCATCCCAGCCCAGTTATTCAAGATGGCCGAAAACTCCTGAACCCAGAAGATGACAGGGAAAAGATGGACTAGTGATAGAGTGGCAAAGGGGGTTGGACACTGGCAGTGCTTGGGGCTCTTTATAAGGTTAGTGTACCTTAACCTCCCTGGCGGTCTGATTATGTCAGTATTTCTGTGCTCAAAGCGGTACATTTTTTTGCATGGAAATATGTCGTTTTTTTATTGTAGGCTGTAATTTTTAGGAATAACTCACTGAAATCTGTCCGAACAAGAGTCTAGTAAACATCCCGGGTATGTTACAATTTGTAAAATGATTATTTCCGATTTTTTTTGTGCTGAAAGCGGTACCATTTTTTTGCATGGAAATATGTAGTATTTTATATGTAGGCTGTAATTTTTAGGAATAACTCATTGAAATCTGTCCGAACAAGAGTCTAGTAAACATCCCGGGGAGGATAAAATCATAAATTATAATTTAATAAATAATTATAAAAAATAATAATATAATAATTAATAAATGTAATTCAATAATATAATCAAACCAAAAACACTGAAATGTGAAATAGAGCACCAAGTTCGCACATCACTGAGCTCAGTCGCAGAATCGTTTTCAGTGTCTGATGAGGAATTTCCCCCACGAATCATTATCACTCAATTCTGCAAGTGGTTCTGATTTACTATCGCTGTTCTCTAGCTGATCTAAACCCGCTTTTGACCTAAAGGGACGCTTTTTGGACGCTATGGATGTTTCTCAGTTTCCAGGCAGAAAGAACGATAAAAATACAGGCAGGGCGCCGGACAAAGCACTCGGGACAATATGTATGTGAAATGGTTTGATACAGCAATGTTTTACTATGTGATTTTAGTGTATTTAGTAAATGTCACTTTTTGTCATTTTCAAATTTCCTGCCATTCCGTCCCCCGTACGTCCCGACGCTTGCAGGGGACAGAACCCAGATGACGGCATCCAACAGATTACATTGCTGGGTACACTACAGGAGGGACATCACGGGAGCGCAGGACAAGGTAAGTGATCGAGGGATCCTGGAGCAGCGCCGCATGGTAAGCCCGAGTGTAGCTCAGGGTTACCGCTTTTGGTACTGAAACTTTACCCCGAGCTACACTCGGGAATACCGCCAGGGAGGTTAATGTGCAAATATTCTGTGTTTACTCGAACATTATGCCAAAAACTCATACAAGGATGAAAACCTTATTTCCACTTTAAATTTAATGAAAACTTGCATAGCTGAGCAACAAAGCTTGAAAAATTGTGACTCTAACCAGTGCTGTCAGGAATATTTTACTTTTGTAGACCTGTCAAGGATCTAGAAGACTACAAAAAGGTATGGTGGCCCTGACAAAATGCATTAAGCATGTGAAATTTTTATTTTCTATTTTAACGTGTAATAAAGGTCCCTACTTTTGAAATGCGAAGAAGTGCATAAATATCTGTTGTCATGCTTTCTGAATACATTATGGTAAACCAGCTTGTATTATAAAGGAGATCTATTCATGTTTCCATACATTCCACATACTACATTCCATATTATTTCATTATTTGCATTTGTGGAAATACATTTACATGTCTACTGTGAGCAGAAACAGGACTTGATTATGAAAGTCTACTGCAGATAATAGTGCCTACTGGATGGCTCCAGATGTTTTCATCACCTGGGCTAATGTAGGTGACATGTTGTATTTTATTTGGATAATATACTGCTTTGATAAGAAGCGCAGGATGACAGACTATGGAAATCCTGACTTGACATATCCTTCAGATGAGGGACAGAGCTTTGTGGGAGTCAAGCTGTCTCCCTCTTCAATCTTTTAATTTACTCAGTTTCTTGTGCAATACTCATCCTGGCTTATTGCGATTACTTCAACTCTCAACAATGGACCATGCTGACTAATTACATATAACTACCTTAAAATGCAAAACTGAAGCCACTACATATAAATCATGCTAATCAGGCTTATCCTCTCCACCCTTTCAATATCAATTTTTAATATAATCCAGATTGTTTCTAATGGATACATTTAGGCCCCCTTTTTTACGTTCCTGTATCTCTTGATGACACATCCTTTACTGTAATCTCAGCAAATGCCAAGTCAATGACATTTCTTTTTCTACAAGTAGACCTAAAGTCTGGGGTGGTAGAGTTAGACCTAATTGCCTATCTTATCTGACATCACCAGACTCATGGCTGTCACCACATATAAAAAAAAAAAAACATTTGCCCCATTTAAACTATAATGTATGTAAAAATAAATGGTCCAGATAGATAATTTTTATTTTTTATATTTACACTTGTATTCTGTCACACTTATAATGATAGGTTTTCTCACCCAGATCTTCTGTACTTCGCATGTTTATGATTCAACGGATTAAAACATTTGCAAACATATTTGCTAATCCCTAAACCTTGTTGTTTTTGTCATTTCCTCTGAACTTATCTCCAGGAGATAAAAGGCTCTCTTTCCTCTTGGACATCATTATTAGAAAACATCCTAATGGTCTTAATGTTTCCATTTTAAGACATTAGTTAGTATGTGTGAAGTCTGTTTTACTGTAAATTATCTCTGTTGTTAAGCTGGTTATACACTGGAATTGTGTTCCACATTTTTCTTTGCAAGAACATTTCTTTGTTTTTCTAATCATTAGTGGGGTCAAATCAACTTTTGTTTTCCAGCCGCAGTGAAGAGAAAATTTGAAGAAGCAGGATCAATTTTTTAACTGTGTATGTGATTTTTTTTTTTGCATTTAAGTCCACTTATTCCAAAATCAAATATTAAAAGCAAACAACTTTTTTTCATGAATTTGATATTTCTGAGAATTTTCTTACATATTTTCCTAAGCATTGTCTCACAAAATTTTTGTTTAAAATGTTACTAGTGCATACCCATAGGCTGGATTGATGTGAACTGAGTTTGCTTCTAAGATACTTATAAAGGGTCCCCTCTTTGGAATATTTGCGCCCTGATTACTTTGATTTCCATGCTGCCTTTATGGTGACTTACTTACATTGGTTCTGGGTGGTTCCCCGTTGGGAAGTTGGTCCTTCTATTTTGAGATTATATGTACAAGACCATTGATTGAATGTACCTATTCCCCCCATTCCCCCCCCCCCAGAGGAATTGGCTTACTCATTTACACCTCTATGGACAACATACAAGTGCTATGAATACCTAGTACAAGTGTACCCTACTTGCTGATATTACTCTAATAAAGATTTAGGAGTGGGTTCCAGTGTACTGATTCTGTCACATGTGCTCCTGAAGGCGTGCACATGTGAACTGTAATCAGGATCTTTGCATGTTGTGAACCCCTATGTGGAGAGTAATTTTTAATGTTGTGTAATAGAGTTTTTAATGACACATAATAAAGTTGTCTTTACGGCACTCAGTTTCTCTCAATGTGTCCACACAAAGTCCATGGCTACACATTCTGTTCATAGTTGTAAATGATTTGCTGTGATGTGGACATATAGCACACACAGTCTAGGTTTCTCTCCTGCTATAGATGTGTATACCCAACTTAAGTGTCCTAAAAATACCTCAATAAAACAGTTCAGTTTTCAAAAGGGATTGAAAATTAACTCAACTTTGTGATCAAACTTTGCCTAACCTAGCCAAGCAATAGTGGAAAGAGCCAAGGTCAAATCTAAATTTTGGTGAAGTGGACCAAGGCTACCCATAAAACTGTGTGTGGCTAAGTGCTTCTCCTCCTGCTGCAGGATTTCCGCACTGGACACAGAGTTTCCCCAGATTGCTTGGCTGCACTGTGGAGAACACAGAGTGGATTATTTCAGATACACTGACAGCCATCAGAACAGATGCAGCAGCCCTGTCCTGCTCTCCACATACAGTGCACAGGACTGTATAAAATTGTCAATTTTACTAGAAGAATTTATTCTGTGTTCTCCTTGGGGTGGCTGGGGAGGTGGAGCAAATGTCCTTCTGGCAATGTTCCAGTGTCTAGAAGGACGAATGCTGCATCACCCATCCCCAGTAGGAATAGCGGTGTTGGACTTAGCCACCGCCCCAGCCATGCCCTCTGATGAATTTCCGGTGGGCAGTTGGGGCAAAACACACCATGGCTGGAACACCACTATTCCTACTGGGGAAGGTTGATGCAGCGTCCATCCATCTCTACTTCCATTGTTCCTGAATCTATACAAGAACATCAGCTCCCACTTTCTTTCACCAGCAGGGTACTTATGCCTACTATGAACACCCGAGGACCAGCAAATACAGTATTAGGAAACAGACAGGCAGGGAAACTAAGGACACAACAGAATTCATGAATTAGGCTGTGAGTGTACTGCGTGTTCGCACTATGTGCGGTGACCTGGGTTTTCACCCTGGATAAATGACGGTCACTGCTAGGGCACATATAATACCATTGTTTAATGTGCATATTAGTAATAATGATGGGCCATAGTCATAGCAGCTTTTTCATTGTTTGCTTAACAGAGCTCCCCAGATTGTGGGTTCTTCATTGGAGGGCATTAGCATTTGAACTTTCTTTGTGTTCACTTGTAGGCTGCAGTGGGTTGCTCATTCACCCACAGTTGCTTGAGTTTTCTTGGTGGAGCATTGGAAATTAAATTCTCAGCATCTCAATAGTAGGAGCACAGTATCTGCTTTTACCTGCAGATGGCAACAGACTAAATGCAAGTTCATATATCTAGTTCTCGATGAAAATTGAGAGAAACAGGCATTGAGGATTTTTTTGTGGCACTACATTAAAGCAAATGAATAAATCAAAAGTGAAAAACTAACATCAGAGGAGAGCTGACATCATGAGCTGTCAGCAGATACCTCATTCCTGGAGCCCGCGTTGTTTCTCTTTTCGTCTGGATCTGGAGATTACATATGGCCCCATCCCACAACGCAAGGCCTGGTGCTTATGAAATCAGTGACTTGGAGAAACCCACTATTTGTACAACTGGTTTGGGGGCTCTGGGCTGGACTGATTCTGCAGCAAGAGGCATGTGCTTAGAGCTTTGGTGGACAGCTAAATTCTGCTGGAAGCTTTTCCACTTTCATTTATTTACAGGTCCACTTTAAACACTAATTGAACAGAAATAGATCATCACCCAGACATTGTATACCTGGCTCCATTTTCATATCCTTACCCCTACTTACATGTTAGATCAGTTGTATAGCTAAAAATGGCAGAACAGTCCAATATACTCTGCTGCACCGATTGTGCTGCTTGGCGCACTCCATAATGGAAAAGACATGTAAGCCACGCTGACTTCTTCCTAAGCACTAAGGTCATTAATACAAAGTGTCTGAGACAAGTTCTGCCTCAAATGGTGTCATGGAAACTAATCAGCTTCTATATTTTTTTTTTTGCTGTAAAGCTTAGAAAACAAAAACTTAAAAGCTGATTGGCTGCATTCTAAATGAGACAAAGCTGAAACAAAACTTGTCTCAGACAGGGGGGGGGGGGGGGGGGGGGGGGGGGGGGGGGGGGGGGACACGATTTATTAATGTCCCCTATATATATTTGTGAGGAGACGTTTGACCACTACTTATCCATGCCAGTACAAAGAACTTGAGTGGGAAGCATAAAGAGCATTTCTAACAAAAATTTTGAATTTATATTATTACATTTCAAATATCAGTTAAAAATCATAACATAAGTTGGTACATGACAAAATGAAGTATGTTGTGAGACTTTCACTGAGCTTCAACCCCTTTTCTATGTGAACAAGGTGCCACATTCCCCTCTGTGTCCCAGGCTTACCTAACCCTCATGGGTGGTTGGCTAGGATCTGTATAGCGGATGTCAGGATGGAAAGCAGTGGGAGATCAATGGATAACCATGACGTATAAACCTGGAAGCACCCACCTCTCAGCATCTCCAGGTTCGGAGTTGTCAAACCTGATCTCTATGGATGGGGTAGAAGCTGATTCAGCACAATAAAACACAATCTAATAGACACCAATGTCCTTCTAAAGACATCTTGTCACCTGCACTACGCTGTCACATAGGGATTACCAGCCCCCTTATGATAGCAATAAAGGTAATTTTTAAAAAAAAGGTTAACATGTTAAAGTTTCATAAAAATAATTTTAAAAAATCTTTTCATCCCTGCCCCCCATATATACACTCTATGAACATTTTGGGTGCAGAAACACACAAAAACGACAATTGCACTACATATACTGTGGGCAGCACAGTGGCTAAATGGTTAGTACTTCCACCTGGCAGTACTATGGTCATTGGTTCAAACCCCAACCACAACACCACCTGCCTGGAGTTTGCATGTTCTCACTGTGCCTGCATGGATTTCCTCCAGGTACTCCAGTTTCCTCCCACACCCCAAAGACATGCCAGTTGGTTAATTGAATCCTGTCTAAATTGGCCCTAGTATATGTATGTATGAATGTAAGTTAAGGACCTTAGATTGTACGCCCCTGGAGGGTTAGGGACTGATGTGAATGTACAATATATATGTAAAGCACTCCATACATTGATGGCACCATATAAGTACCTTAATAAATAGGTATTACCATGCATCCTAGAGTAAGAACAATAGTTCTGGGCTCTTCATTCATGGTTGACTTTATATTAATGAACTGTAAAAAGGCTTTTACATTTTCACCTATGGACAATTTTATGGTAGTTTTTCACTGTTCTTGCAGTTTTGATTCTGGGCATATTTGGTATCTATTACTCCTCTTTTATATTTTACCAAAAAGTTGGGTATTATATTGTGTTTGTGTATAGTAAAAATAATTTGAAGTTTATGGACTACTGAAAATACAGAATTGAAGCAGCAGTGTGTTCATAAAATGAAAGAATGGTCCCAGCAGTGAAATAGTCAAAGCTGAAGTCAAGTCAACATAAAAAATCTGACTTTCCTGTAATGTGGGGAGACTCACCACCTCCTAACCTGCAATGCAAGACTGCTTACCCTGCATTGTACTTGATGATGTCAGAGCTCCTACAACTGGATGACAGCATTTTGGTGTCTATTCTCAACCCCAAAAAGGACCCTCTATTGTTCTCAGCAACCTGCAAATCTTCAAATTCCTTTTTTTTTTGCTGCTGAGATCCAACTTCCCATTAGAGGGTGGCTATGTTTGTTTTCCATTTTCCACTGTATATAGGAATGTAGCAACCCTCTCTTGCTTGCCCCCCTCTCTTGCTTGTCTAGGGGCTATGGACTATAGACTAGGACAGCAATGGGCAAACTACGGCCCGGCGGACCTTTTAATCCGGCCCGCGGAGCGTGATACTGTCAGGATGGCTGTCAGGATGTGTGTAGGCGGGGCAGCGTGATGAACGTGAGGGGAGCTAGGCTCCTCTCACAGTCCGCCCTGAAGACCGGAACGGCGCGGGAACACGGCGAGAGGAACGCGCGGAGCAAAGGTACGTAAATTGACACAGGGGGGACTTGGCTTACTACTTGGGGGGGAATAGTACTGTGGGGGATGAAATACTATATGGGGGATGAATTACTATATGGGGGATGAATTAATATGGGGAATTAATTACTATAGGGGGGATGAATTACTATGGGGGATGAATTACTATATGGGGGATGAATTACTATGGGGGATGAATTACTATGGGGGATGAATTACTATATGGGGGATGAATTAATATGGGGAATTAATTACTATAGGGGGGATGAATTACTATATGGGGGATGAATTACTATGGGGGATGAATTACTATAGGGGGGATGAATTACTATGGGGGATGAATTACTATGGGGGATGAATTACTATATGGGGGATGAATTACTATATGGGGGATGAATTACTATATGGGGGATGAATTAATATGGGGAATTAATTACTATAGGGGGGATGAATTACTATATGGGGGATGAATTACTATAGGGGGGATGAATTACTATGGGGGATGAATTACTATATGGGGGATGAATTACTATAGGGGGGATGAATTACTATGGGGGATGAATTACTATATGGGGGATGAATTACTATATGGGGGATGAATTACTATGGGGGATGAATTACTATATGGGGGATGAATTACTATATGGGGGATGAATTACTATGGGGGATGAATTACTATAGGGGGGATGAATTACTATGGGGGATGAATTACTATGGGGGATGAATTACTATATGGGGGATGAATTACTATATGGGGGATGAATTACTATATGGGGGATGAATTAATATGGGGAATTAATTACTATAGGGGGGATGAATTACTATGGGGGATGAATTACTATATGGGGGATGAATTACTATGGGGGATGAATTACTATGGGGGATGAATTACTATATGGGGGATGAATTAATATGGGGAATTAATTACTATAGGGGGGATGAATACTATATGGGGATGAATTACTATGGGGGATGAATTACTATAGGGGGGATGAATTACTATGGGGGATGAATTACTATGGGGGATGAATTACTATATGGGGGATGAATTACTATATGGGGGATGAATTACTATATGGGGGATTAATTACTATATGGGGATGAATTACTATATGGGGGATGAATTAATATGGGGAATTAATTACTATAGGGGGGATGAATTACTATATGGGGGATGAATTACTATAGGGGGGATGAATTACTATGGGGGATGAATTACTATATGGGGGATGAATTACTATAGGGGGGATGAATTACTATGGGGGATGAATTACTATATGGGGGATGAATTACTATATGGGGGATGAATTACTATGGGGGATGAATTACTATATGGGGGATGAATTACTATATGGGGGATGAATTACTATGGGGGATGAATTACTATATGGGGGGGGAATACTATATGGGGGATTAATTACTATGGGGGATGAATTACTATGGGGGGGATGAATTACTATAGGGGGGGGGGATGAATTACTATATGGGGGATGAATTACTATATGGGGGATGAATTACTATGGGGGATGAATTACTATATGGGGGATGAATTACTATGGGGGATAAATTACTATAGGGGGGATAAATTACTATATGGGGGATGAATTACTATATGGGGGATGAATTACTATGGGGGATAAATTACTATATGGGGGATGAATTACTATATGGGGGATGAATTACTATGGGGGATGAATTACTATAGGGGGGATGAATTACTATATGGGGGATGAATTACTATGGGGATGAATTACTATGGGGGATGAATTATATGGGGGATGAATTACTATATGGGGGATGAATTACTATGCTTACTATGGGGGGAATATTATTATACTTACTATGGATGACACATACACATCATTCATCTACTCTTGGTCCGGCCCCCGGGTCCAATATATGAACCCATTGCGGCCCTCAAGTCAAAAAGTTTGCTCACCCCTGGACTAGGAGATTTGTAGTGCGCATAAAGCATTGAACATGACTGCAACGAACAAGCACTGCTCATTCCAAAGAGAAGTGAGAGAGAAAAGGAGAGGTTCAGGAACTCATGGGGGACATTACAAGGAGGCAGAAATAAACAGTAAAAAACTATTTCATAAAATATAGATAATAGGGCCATGAAGTAGTGGATGCAAATGGATTATTTGGGAGAATAAGGATAATGTTTAGTGTTAATTTAGGGATTCCATTAAAAAAGAACTAAATAGCCAGTTTTTTTTTACTTTCTGTACAAAGCTGCTTCCCTAAGCAGTACTCAAACGATCACCCCCCTTCTAATGTGTTCTATTTATTGTGTTTCTGCTGCATGTGGGTGGCATCTGTAATCTGTCACTTTTTTCAGATAATCTGCCACTGAGTGACAGCAGCATTTCAACAGCAGCAACAACACTGAGTGGTGGATCTTTCCCTAACTGAGATCTCATTTTTTTGTTTAGTTTTGCCTGGTGACACCATGACAGGAGTTACGGTCATTAACCTCTTGTAAAACACACAATTACATGTTCAGCAGGGGCTCTGGAACACATTGATTTGCAGATTTATTTTAGAAACAAAGTGCCATCCTCCCCAAATATTGTCATTGATTGATTTGCTGATATACATTTTATTACTTCATTACAGGAAACTGGAAAAACTAAAAAATTGCAATTTGCTTTAAAGATTTACCAAATTCCCCTCACCTACAGTATATACATATAGAAAGACAGACAAGGATATAGGCAGAAAGACAAAAAGTAACGTTTACTAATTTCACAAGTTTGCAAATTTGCTAAACTAGCTTGCTTCCATTCTTACAGAGATGTCCTTAAAGGAAAGATATTATTTTAGAGAGGGACTTAGTTGGAATAGGGACTAAAAAAAGTTCAGATATATTTCTCCTTAATTTGCAGTTGGCAAGATTAGAGAAAAAATTGGAAAAACCAACATGTTTGACATCTTTATAGGGGCATTCTTTAAAGCAGAACTTTGGGGAAAAATGTTTTCCCATACAGTGAGGCTGTGCCCCGCACTACATGGGTT